ACCCCCTAAAGTGCCTGCAGAACATTAGTATCGAAATTAATAAATTACAGTAGTACCATCTTAAACAACAATATTTTTATACTGCATCACACCATATAAAGGTTCACCACGTTCGGCTGTCGCCTTCATCTCTTTATAATATTCTGCTGCTTCTTTCTTGAAATTGTCCGCTTCTTCCGGGTTACTCAAATCCGCGATATCTTCGCAAACACTAAAAACACAACATTATATGGAGCTCAACTACCACTTCATATTCTTTCGTTATGCGACGAGTCCTGAAGTTCAGGACTGCAATCTTTGCCCTTCGATTGAAAATTGGGAATCATCAGAAAAAAGATTACACTTACCAATTAAGAAAAAAAACATACAAGGAAGTTCACCTACTTTTTCATCTCAGATGATGGCCTTTTACCCATCTGTGCCATCTGCATGTTGCTGGCCGTTGATGTTATCATGTAGTCGTCCGGATCCAACTTAACGTCGGCAGCCGAAAGGCACTCTCCGTGCAGAATTTTTGCAGGAAGGTCTAGAAAGAGACATCCAGTGAGAAAATTCCGCCGAAAAGACTAATCGTAAGAGTTACCGGGTTCCGACGTCGTTGGCCTTCCTATACCTATACCGTCAGTGATTCCATCGAATACAGCGTTCACCATGGCTGGAGCTGTTCGGAAACCACCAGTTAGATATACAACAGTTTTCTCGAAAACTGGTCGGATCTGATAAACAATAAAGAAGAATGCAAAATCAACGAATATGAAAAGTAGGTGATACCTGCTGTGCAAATTCTAAGAAGAATGCTTCCCGCTTTCTGGTGGATTCTCGTAGATGTGAAAAAGCAGGTTTCTCTATGTTTCCACCAGACAGCTCCACGAAATCGAATCCACATTTCTAAATAGGATTATTAGTGAATCCGTAAAGCATGCAACAGTTACGAACGGTGCATAAGCTCTCAATATGAATAACGAATGCTTTCGAAGCTTCCTACGAGACAAAGTAGAGCAGCCGAATGTTTTCTCGTTATTAGCTGCTACCAGCCTCATTTCGTAGTGCACAGCCATTGGCAGCCACTACCTGGGCCGGAATTATTGCAAAGGTTGAACAAG